GAATCCCTAACAAAAATTTCTTCTGGCTGTACGTTTTGGGGTTGGGGAGGTTAGCCTTTAAAATGTAACCTAACTGGAACTTTTATAAGGGTAGGGCTTATGTTTTTGAGGACCTGCATGTCTCTTCCAAGACACCTGTACGATGTGGTCTTGAACAAATTACTTTTTCTCATGTGCCCTGAGGCAGCCCTGAGAAGGTCTAGGATTTGGAGGGAGCAGTTTTGAAACCCTTTATGTTTATAAGGAGAACTAACTTTAGTGTTGGACACTTGGTTTTCATGGCTTTAAAGGTGTTCGTAGCATGATTTTCTCTTCCTTCCTGGAATTCAGAGATTAGCTGCTGAATGATGATACCCACTAACTGAGCAGTCAGTAGTTGGTCCTTTGGTTGCATATGATGCAATTAATTGTTTCAAGACGGGACTGATGGCAGCTACTGAAATGAATTCCTGCTAGTGAACTGATTTTAATCCTTAATACTAAAATATGAAAAACTTTATTTTAGTACCAAACGATTCCCTGGTTATGATTCAGAAAGCAAGGAATTCAATGCAGAAGTACATCGAAAGCACATCATGGGTCAGAATGTTGCAGATTATATGCGTTACCTAATGGAAGAAGATGAAGATGCTTACAAGAAACAATTCTCTCAATACATAAAGAACAACGTAACTCCAGACATGGTAAAAATTTTAACTAAAAATGCCTGTGTTGGTTAATTTATAGTCAGGTTTACTACTTGGTTTTGGTGGGTACATTAATAGTTTTTTTTTTTTTCTTTTTAAAGATTTTATTTATCCATTTGACAGAGACACCATAAGAGAGGGAACACAAGCAGGGGGAGTGGGAGAGGGAGAAACAGGCTTCCCGCTGAGCACTGAGCCTGATGCGGGGCTCGATCCCAGGACCCTAGGATCACGACCCGAGCTGAAGGCAGATGCTTAACGACTGAGCCACCCAGGCGCCCCACATTAATACTTTTATTTCAGGTTAACAGTTAAAAGTTGAACATGAGTATGTTAACAGGTATAGATAGACTCAGATAAGCTGTTCTGAAAGTGGAATGGCATGAAATTGGGATACTGAGTGAGGGTAAGTTAAAAGTCAGATAGGGTAATTATAAAGAGCTAGACTTACCAACATGCTTTTAGGCTTCAAGCATCTAAATCTAAAGCCTTTGGTGGCTTTTACACATTTGGCTGTTCCGAATTTATAGACTTCATTCCTGTGGTCATAGTTAGAATCCTCTATCCTGATAGGAGATGCTAGTTACTAAACTTATTTTGAAGCCATGTGGAAGAAAGGTTCTTTATAGCAAATAAGTTCTATGTTCTGGACTTCTGAATGTCTCAGGCATGCACATGGAGAGTTGTACTGATTAGATCACTAGTTCTGCTTGATGTTGCAAATGGGAATTTAATGTTGGAAATTTTGTCAGCCTAAAGTTGTATCTTCAAGGCTATTTATTAACACATTGTAGTAATGGAAGATAGGCATAGAACACAAAAATAGCACTGGTTTTTATAAAACTTACACAACTATGGAGTTGTGGGTAAGTTGATAGTTATATATCAAATGACTGTTGTTAGTGCATAATTTCTATTTTCACACAGCTTTGGTTATGAAAATTTTTTGAGAGCTTGAGTGAGTGCATAGTGGGGGAGGGACCGAGGGTGAGGTTCCACACCCAGCATGCGGGGCCTCAGTCTCAGGACCCTGGGATCATGACCTGAGCCATAATCAGAGTCAGATGCTTAACTGATTGAGCCACCCTGGCACCTTGTAAAAATTATTTGTATTTCTTTTAAGATTTTACTTACATATTTGAGAGAGAGTGAAAGAGAGCGAGCACAAGCGGGAGCGGCAGGCAGAGGGAGGAGTAGGGAGCCCGATGCGGGGCTTGATCCCAGGGCCCTGGGATCATGACCCGAGTGGAAGGCAGACGCTTAACTGACTAAGCTACCCAGGCACCTTTGAAAATTATTTTTAAATAGAGTTGTAATTGGGAAAAGATCCCTTTCTGTTATTTGTATGCTTAGTACACAGTCTAGGGATAATAAACACATAACTTGAGTTTTTGAGCTAGGAAAAGGGTAATACTACATTAGTTTATATTAGTAATGCAAAATGCATGTTAATTTTCAGAAATCCATACTTTTATATTACTATTGACAGTCGCCCTCGTTCCCTCTGGTAAATAGATCTTTTACTTGTGACTATAATTTACTTGGCCTGCATAGTTTTTCTTCCTAAGACATCTCTTCCTCTGGTAATGTTAACAGTTGTTCAAAACTTTTCAAATTCTCAAGCTGCTTTCAGATACCGATTTCCTACTGCTCTCCTGTATATGTGATGTATTTATCTAGACCACTCTTAGGCTGATGTACTTTTCCCGGCTAGCTCATTAATTTGATCTTTGGAGGCCTTTTATGCATGCCTGCTGAAATCCTCTGCAGACATCTGACATGTCTCCAAGAGAAAGTGGTCTTTACCTAAACTCATGCTATTAGCTACATACATGGTTGTGTATCCTATTTGTCTCTTTTGGAAGGAATGGACCGAGTTGCTTAGATTTATTAAATGACTACATTTGAAGTCATCAAATGGATTTGTTAAATACAGTGGAAAGCTATAATAGAATGCTTAACAGAGGTAGAGAAATTAGTTTTCAGGAGGGATTTAGGTAGTTGAGGTCTCCTGCAGTGTTGGCATTATTTTCATTTGCTAAGTTTTACACCAAGTAATTTTAGAGTTGGATTACTTTGACTTATTCTTTAGGGGGCTGTAATTGTTCCTAGATTTGGATAGTGAACAGTCAGGTATTTTATAGCTGTTTCATGTCTTGATCTTCCATAGAATCAAGTGTCATTTGGAGGTGGTAATTGAAACAATTCGAGAATTTCAGCGTTGGTTTTTGATAAGTTTTAGAACAAAATTCTCATTCTCATTAAGATCTAATTGGATGGGGTTTTCTGGGGAAATTGAAACCTTCTGTTTCCACAGACACCTAGTAGTAGTACATATAAGAGGTCCCTGGTGTGCAATGCTGGGAGTAGCATTGAAAGACCTATCAGGTACTGATGGAAAATACAAATCTGGGGAATGTGGGAGAATAAAAATGAATTTATAGCAGTTGCTTTTTGGCCCCATATAGTCTCCATCTTAACATCTTTGTTTTGACACAAATCCTCACTTGAATAATTTAGGTCAGACAGTATTTTAAATGAACATACATGTTTTTACAGAAACCCATGAAAATTTTTGAGGGTGATTGAGTTTTGTGAATAGTGTCAGTTTACATTGCCTATGGGTTTCTTAGGAAAATGTGGGCTACATGTAGAAATTTAAAAAGATAACCAGGGTTGACCTAGTTTAGTTCCTTTTGACAGTCTGGTTTAGAGACAAAATAGAACAAGTAGTAGAACACAGTACACATTATATGACTATATAGGGCATGTGAAATGAAACCAAGTACTGTTTGCTTTGCTTTCTTTCAGATGGAGGAGATGTATAAGAAAGCTCATGCTGCTATACGAGAGAATCCAGTTTATGAGAAGAAGCCTAAGAAAGAAGTTAAAAAGAAGAGGTATGCATCTTACTGTTGTCTTTTTAAGAGGTTGGGAGGAGTTCCTTGCCTTGTTTCATCTTACTCAGACTCTCAAGTTGTGCAAACTCGATCACTAGCTCTGCATGATGTTGCAGAAGTGAGGGGAACCAGGTTTGCTAAAGTAATTGTGGTGATAGAAATGTATAAGCCTCAGAAGGTACTTACTGAGCTGACCTATTCTGTCCCAGTACAGTATAACTACCAGTTATAAAAAAGATTTTTTTTTACCAGTTATTGCATTTTTAAAGTTAGATTAAGATCATAAATAAGTATGTGTATTGGAACTTGGATTGTTTTACCTGATCACAGTCTTTTTCAATCAGAGTTAACTATTTTCTATCCTCTATAGCTATGGTTTTTAAAAATTCCACTTATCTCTTAATTTTACTTCGTTTTGTAGGTGGAACCGTCCCAAAATGTCTCTTGCCCAAAAGAAAGATCGGGTAGCTCAGAAGAAGGCAAGCTTCCTTAGAGCTCAGGAGCGGGCTGCTGAGAGTTAATAAACCAAACCACAATTTTCTATGAAGATTTTTCAGATAAAGACAATAATAAACTTATTCATCAAGCAGCTGTCTGTGTTAAACTCTTATTAATGAAACTGTTGGAAATAACCTGAAATAAAAAAGCAGAGGAGATGACAGGTTTTTTTCTTTGAGAAACAAGTATAACTTTACGTATCGACTCAAAATTCACACCTGCTTCTCAGGCTTCTGTTTTCCCTGACAGGAGTTAATCCCTCCAGTTGTATGATGTGCAGCCCTCCCTAAACAGTGTGGCAAGCAACAGACCAACCGTCCACTAGGAAATATTTTTTCCATTCATTTATTGTAACCAGATGACTGGTGGGAAGAAAAAGTACCTTCAAAGTACACAATTTTAAAATAAGCAAAATTGTTGCTAGATCAATGGCTTTAATTTTTGAGAAAAAGCTGTCCAGTGAAGTTCACACTAACATTCACTTAGGTGAAAACTTTGAGCAGAATATATTGGGTCTTCCTTCAGATAAGGTGTTCCATTTTATGGAGATGTTGAGAGGTACATGCCAGATCTTAATAAACATGAAAACATTAAAAGGGCAAATATTAACTTGCATATCAAGTTTACATGAAAAAAACTTACATGCCTCTTAAGAAATAGCCCTTTGGCCAACAGGAAATACTGTTCAAAAATGGAAAATTGTTATTAAAAAAGTTCCATGATTTCAGTCTGGCTCCTAATGTCCCACTTCCCCATAGCTCAAATTCAGATACATGGATCTGGATTGGGTTTGATGGCCTTAATGTCAGTTTTAAAGGACTCAGCTCATTGACACTAAGAAGGACCCATCAAATCTAGGATGATGAAAGCTCATCCAGTTTCAGCCTCTTAAAATTGGCAATTACGAGGCTAATAACCACTCAAAACATTCTGAAGCCATATAATGTCTAAATGTTTTAAGTCTATAAATACAAACCATGCTATTAACCCAACATCTGTTTATAAAGGAGTAACTTTACCTGCTTTGCAGTCTTAATTTCTGTTAATGTGCAAACTTTACCATGCTAAGACTTTAGTAAATGTATAATTATTTTTTTAAACAGCAGCTTCAATGCAAACAATGTTTCCAGCAATGGTATTTTGGCTAACAAATCTACAAAATACTCACTGTTGATGTTTATGGAATGAGGCTTTTCACAGCATTATTTTAGGTCATTAGTTAAAATAGTTACACAGTGAATGTACTGGAAAATCTACCAGGGCCTCTAACAGCAGGAATGAAATCTTTGGACCTGTTCATCCTATACCTCCTGCCGTTACTTCAGCAATCAACATGTATCTTAAGATGATGGCTTCTTAAAACCAGGGGGAAGGAGTTTTGTGTAACTGGCAGGGATTTGAATCAGAAGCCATCTTTTTTTTTTTTTTTTTAATGCTCAAAAATTTTCCTTAGAATTGTTAAGTTTCCTATAATGGTCACAATGTCCAAATGAACTAAGAGTCATTTGTATAGGAAATTTTCTTCCACAGTAATGTTTTTAGGTTATTTAGTATCAAAGAATGTTCCATTTCCATTTGATTTGCTGTGACTTTGAGAGCAATACAAGAATAAAGTTGCTTTTCCAATTCTTCACGAATTTCACTTGGAGCACCACGCAGTAGGTAGTCTTTGAGTAACAGACAGGCTTTTGCTAGGTTTGGTTGTATCACTTCTGAAGTACACTTCATTGTACTCTGATCACAGCTAGTTCGACAATCCGTGCCATAAACACAGTCCAAATCAGACTCACAGTGACGATCCTTTATAATTTCTTTCAGGTTTGTCTCTGGCACAATTTTTCTCATGTCCACCATTTTCAAATCATATTTATCATTATATCCTAGGTTTTTGGCACTAATATCACACATGAGGAAGTTTCCATAGGGGCCGTGGAAAACATCTTCCACAAATTCCAGAAGTCCTATGGCTATTTTAGCCTTTCTAGGCCATGATGGTGTGAACAACTGATCCATGCTTCTTCTGAACCCAGATGGAATAAAAAGTTCAATGACCCATGGAAGGCTTATTCCATAAAGAGAGGTATATTCAACACTTTCCATCACATAGAGATCACCACAGAATCCCATTAATTTGGGGGTATGCTCTTTATCTTGAAGTATCACCATGAGAAGAAATTCATTTAGTTGAAGAAGTGCCCATGCTGACTTCGCTTCTCCCAAGGAAACCTGGCCATCTTTGTCTCCATCAGCCACCGTCAAGATGAGATTAACCAGTTCAGAGAGATTTCCTTGGTCACCCAACTTTGCCTATAAAGGTAAGAATTTAGCTAAACACAGAAGCTTTGAAAAATACCTCATATGTAATACACATTTTAATTTTATGGGGATTACCATCTTAAGTAATAATCTTGTTCCTGAGTCTCCATAAAGGAACTTAATACATCTCCAAATATTTATGATGCTTAGAAGTAGGTTTTATATAATTGTAGTAAAACCCACTTCATTAAGTATATTTAAGAAATGGGCCAACCTAGCTCCCATAGCCCCCTGGGCCCTGTTGATACAGTTATCCAACACACTAATTATTGTCTTATTCATACATTTACTTGCAAAATTGCAGTGTAATGTGCTCATATCCAAAGTTATAATAAGAGTCAACTGAATACTTTTTCCTATTTTGTAATTAACACATTAACAACTATTTTGTTTAAGTTGTATTATTCCAATGATGAAGGTTAAAAAGTATGTCCCTGTGAAGGTTCTTAGGATAAAATAGTCTGAAAATGTAAACTTAAAAGTAAGATTTTGAGTGAAAATATGACACCAATAAAAAAAGATTGTTTCCAAAATGGTACATTTTTTATCTTTTAATATATTTAATCTTTGAATATTTCTTTAAATTTTTTAAAAAATTTGCAATCAGGGTATGTATACTAATTTTAGCCCTTCTCCCACCTTTTAAAAAATGTGTGTCAGGTACAGTATCAAACTATAGAGCTGCTCATCTACTTAATGAACTCCCTTTTCATATCTGGACATTTTAGCTATCATAAATAATGTGAACATCCTTCACACATTTTGTTTGAATTTTTTCCTCAAGATGGAGTCCTGGATATAAGTCAAAGAATAGCAACATTTTTATGGCTTAGGATGAGGTCTTGCCAACTCTTCCAGAAGAATGTACCACTTCACACTAGCAACATGTGAATGGATATACTTACTTTAAAGAGACTATAGACCATTTCTTTGAATTTCTGTACAGTAGTTCCCCTTGTTGGCTTATCAAATAGCACTATTTCTTTCCTTGGTTCCAATTCAGTTCCAAAATCAAGATGAAGTGCTTGTTCCATTTGACATTTCACAACACCTGGTAGATTACCCCAAATCCCTAAATACATCTATGTGAAAAAAGAATGACAAATTACTCTTTAGGCTTAGAGAACTTTACCAATGTATTTTTAGTGTCTTCTTCCTCTTACAAAAACAAGTAACAAAATATTGAGATTTAGCTTTTTTATGTAACTTTTAGATTATAAAAGCAATGCATGCCTAAATAAATATATTTTTGACCATGATCAATTTTATTTTTTCCAATTTTTTAATTGTGGTAAAATACTAAAAACATAAAATTTACCATCTTAACCATTTTTAGTGTACAGCTCAATGGTATTACATTCATAATGTTGTGCAGCCATCACTACCATCCTTCTGCAGCACTCTCTTCATCTTGTAAAATTGAAACTCTATACCTATTAAATAATAACTCCCTTTCCCCCTCCCCCCGCTGAGCCCCTGGCATCACCATTCTACTCTCTGTCTTTATAATTTTGACTACTGTAAGCATCTCATATAAATGGAACCATATAAAATTTGTCTTTTTGTAACTGGCTTATTTCACTTAGCAAGTGAAACTCAAAATTCACTTAGCAAGTGAATTCAAGATTCATCCGTACAGTAGCATGTATCAGAATTTCCTTCTTTTTAAAGCTGAATAATAGTCCACTGTATGGATACACCACATTTTGCATTTCTATTCACCTTCTGATGGACACTTGGATGCTTCCACGTTTTAGCTATTGTGAATAATGCCGACCTGAACTTGGGTGTACAAGTATCTTTTGGAGACTCTGGTTTCAATTTTTTTAGGTATGTACCCAGAAGTGAAATTGCTGGATCATAAGAACAGTGTATTTTTAATTATTTTGAGGAGCTGTTTTCTGAAGTGGCTGTGCCATTTTGCATTCCCACCAACAGTGCATAAGGGTTCCAATTTCTCTCCATCCTTGTCAACACTTGTAAATTTCCATTTTTTGATAGTAGCCTTCCTAATGGTGTGAAGTGGTATCCCACTGTGATTTTGATTTGTATTTCCCTAATGATCAAGTGATGCTGAGCAGCTTTTCATGTACTTATTGGTCATCTGTATATCTTTTTTTGAGAAATGCCTATTCAAGTCCTTTGCACAGTCTTTAATCTGGTAGTTTTTGTTGTTGAGTTTTAGGAGTTCTCTCTCTCTCTCTCTCTCTCTCTCCCCCTCTCTCCTTCTCTATTTTTTTTAGTAAATTTTACACACATGTGGGGCACGAATTCATGACCCTGTCTGTGATCAAGAGTTGCATGCTTTACCAACTGAGCCAGCCAGGCGCCCCAGGAGTTCTCTATATATTCTAGATATTAATCCCTATTGGATATATGATCTACAAATATTTTCTCTCATTCTGTAGATTTGATATTTTGATGCACAAAATTTTTAAATTTTCATAAAGTACAATTTGTCTCTTTTTCTTTTGTTGCTTGTGCCTTTGGTGTCAGAGCCAAGAAATCATTGCCAAATCCAATGTCATGAAGCTTTTACCCTGTATTTTTTTCTAAGAGTTCTATGGTTTTAGTTCTTACATTTAAGTCTTTGATCTATTTTGACTTAATTTTTGCATATGGTATTAGGTAAGGGTCCCACTTTGTTCTTTTGTATGTGGCTATCCAGTTTTCCTAGCACCATCTGTTGAAAAGACCATCCTTTCTCTATCAAATGATCTTAGCACTCTTGTCAAAAATCATTTGACCAAATATGTGAGGGCTTATTTCTGGGTTCTCTATTCTATTGATCTATATGTCTGTCTTCATTCCAGTACACACTGTTTTGATTACTGTAGCTTTGTAGTAAGTTTTGAAATCAGGAAGTATGAGTCCTTCGGCTCTGTAGTCCTTTTTCATGACTCTTTTGCTATTTGGGGACCTTTGAGATTCCATATTAATTTTTGAGTGGGTTTTTCTATTTCTGCAAAAAATGTCATCAGGATTTTGATAGGAATTTCACTGAATCTGTAGATCACTTTGGGAAGTATTAACATCTTAACAATACTAAGTCTTCCAATCCATGAACATGGGATGTATTTCCACTTATTTATATCTTTAATTTCTCTCAGCAATGCTTTGAAGTTTTCAGTGTAAAGTCCTTCACCTGCCTCGTTAAGTTAATTCCTAAGTACTTTATTCTTTTTGATGCTACTGTAAATGGAATGGTTTTCTTTCTTTTTTTTCAAATCTTTTATTTATTTATTTATGAGAGAGAGAAAGCATGAGCAGGGAGGAGAGGGAGAAGCAGGTTCCCCAAGAGCAGGGAGCCTGATGCGGGGCTTGATTCCAGCACCCTGGGATCGTGACCTGAGCCAAAGGCAGATGCTTAACAGACTGAGACACCCAGGCACCCCAGAATGGTTTTCTTAATTTTCTTTGTAGATTGTTCATTGTTACTGTATAGAAATACAACTGATTTTTGTGTGTTGACTTTGTTTCCAGCTACTTTGCTGAATTCATTTATTAGCTCTCACAACTTCTTCCTACATAAAAAGGTTTTTCTACCCCCCCATAAAAGGTTTTTCTACCCCCCATTAAAGGTTTTTCTACCTCCCATGATCTACATAAAAGATCATGTCATCTGCAAACAGATATAATTTTACTTTTTTTTTTTTTTAAAGATTTTATTTATTTGACAGAGAGAGACACAGCGAGAGAGGAAACACAAGCAGGGGGTGTGGGAGAGGGAGAAGCAGGCTTCCCGCCGAGCAGGGAGCCCAATGCGGGGCTCAATCCCAGAACCCTGGGATCATGACCTGAGCTGAAGGCAGATGCTTAATGACTGAGCCACCCAGGCGCCCCTAATTTTACTTTTTCCTTTCTAATTTGGGTGCCTTTTATTTCTCTCTCTTGTCTGATTTGGCTAGAACTTCCAGTATTATGTTGAATACAAGTGGCAAAAGTGGGCATCCTTGCCTTGTTCCTGATTTTAGAGGAAAAGCTTTCAGATTTTAACCATTAAATATATTAGCTATGGGCTTTTCATATGTGGATTTTATTATGTTAAGGTAGTTGCTTTCTATTCCTATTTGCTGAGTGTTTTTATAATGAAAGTGTACTGAATTTTGTCAAATACTTTTTCTGCATCAACTGAGATGATCCTGTGGGGTTTTTTTTTGCTTCATTTTTCTGATCTAGTGTATTAAATTGATTGACTTTTGTATGTTGAACTATTCCAGCATTCCAGGAATAAATCCCATTTGGTCGTGGTGTATGATCTTTTTAATATGCTCAATTTGGTTTGGTAGTATTTTGTTGAGGATTTTGCATTAATGTACACAAAGTCTGTAGATTTCTTTCCTTGTACAAGGGTCTTTTTCTGGCTTTGGTATCAGGGTAATGCTGGCCTCACAGAATGAGTCAGGAAGTATTCCCTCCTTTTCAATTTTTTGGAAAAGGCTGAGAAGGATTTAAATGTTCGGTAGAATTCACCAGTGAAGGCAGGCTCAGGGCTTTTCTTGTTGGGAGACTCTTGATTACTGATTCAATCTCCTTCTAGTTATAGATCTATTCAGATTTTCTATTTCTTGGTAGGTTTTCTATTTCTAGGAATTTGTCCATTTCATCTAGGTTGTCTAACTTGGTGCACAACTGTTCATAGTACTTTCATATAATCCTTTTTATTTCTGTAGAATCAGCAGTAATGTCCCCACTTCATTCCTGATTTTAGTAATTTGAGCCTTTTTTTTTTTCTTAGACCATCTAGCTAAAGGTTTGTCAATTTTGTTGATCTTTTCCAAGAACCAGCTTTTGGTTTCATTGATTTTTCTCTATTGTTTTTCTATTCTCCATTTCATTTATCTCTGTTGTAAACTGTATTATTTATTTCCTTCTGCTAGCTTTGGGTTTAGTTTGTTCTTTTTCAAGTTCCTTAAATTGTAAAGTTAGCTTGTTGATTTGAGATCTTTCTTGTTTGTTAATGTAAGCATTTATAGCTATGAATACATTTTATTTGTTTTTTTTTTAAAGATTTTTTATTTATTCATTTGAGAGAGAGAGAACAAGCAGAGGGAGAGGCAGAGGGAGAGGGAGAAGCAGACTCCCCGCTGAGCAAGGAGCCCGATGCGGGACTCGATCCCAGGACCCTGGGATCATGACCTGAGCTGAAGGCAGACGCTCAACCATCTGAGCCACCCAGGCGCCCTATGAATACATTTTTTTAAAGATTTTTATTATTTATTGAGAGAGAATGATAGAGAAAGAGCATGAGAGGGAGGAGGTCAGAGGGAGAAGGAGACCCCCTGCTGAGCAGGGAGCCCTATGCGGGACTCGATCCTGGACTCCAGGATCATGACCTGAGCTGAAGGCAGTTGCTTAACCAACTGAGCCACCCAGGCGCCCGCTATAAATACATTTTTTAATAGTCTCATTACACAGAAAGATAAAAGGCAAAACTCTTCTGTTTCCATTTCCCTAATCCCATACCCCAGAATTAGTCACTATTAATAAATATAAGATCCATGAGGGAAGTAATCTTATCTATCTTAATCATCACTGAATTCCTAATAACTAAACAGTGTCTGGAATATACTGGGAATAAGGGATTAATAAACATCTGTTGGATGAGTGAATCAAAGCATACAAAATTGAAGTATATAAAATTTCCTAATGCTCTGGTTCAAGAATTCTTTTAATAATGCTTCATTTAAGGTAGAATTAGAGTGCATTATCATTCTGGAATGTTTATTCATAATGTCCATACCTGATTGTTGGGCTTGGTGGATAAGCATTTCCCAAAGTATAGAGTTTCTGTAACACAAAGGCTATTACATGCAGGCCCATCAATAACTCCAGTCTTGTACTTGTCACACTAAAAACCAGAAAACAAAAAAGTAGTTAATAGGAAAATGTTTACAAGAAGAAACATAATGAAGACAATGTAAGGAGATATCTGTATTCTTTAAGATGAAGTTCTATGATGAAAAAGAACTCAGGCTCTGGAATTTGGACAGACCTGAATTTGAATCCAAGCTCTGTTCTTACCATCTATATGATGATGGGAGATCTTGCTGGGACTAGGGTGTGCATAGAATTTGGAAGCTATTTTTCCCACTTAACATGGTCTGAAGTGGTATGGTACTGGCTCTGAGATTAGAGGTACTCTTTTAAAAAAATGGTTCTGGTTTTAAAATAAAAAATTAAAGTTTAAAATACCAAAATATTGGGGTGCCTGTGTGGCTCAGTTGGTTAATCATCTGCCTTCGGCTCAGGTCATGATCCCAGGGTCCCAGGATCGAGCCCCACATCAGGCTCCCTGCTCAGCGGGGAGTCTGCTTCTTCCTCTCCCTCTGCTCCTCCCCCTCCACTCATGCTCTCTCACTATCTCTCTCTCAAATAAATAAATAAAATCTTTAAAAAAAAACCCCAAAATATTTAAAAATACCAAAATAAAATTACCTCTGTCATCTGGTCATCCTTGAGACTACCCAAAAACAAGAAAATAAGAAAAATAAACCCAAACTCCATCTTTGATAAGGTAACAAGGTAACCTTAAGGCACAATTAGTGAGGATGGCCTACCAAATTCATTGAAAATTACACCAGAGTCCACAGTATGTTGAGATTAAATACCTGCTGTGACTTTAGTTCTGTGTTGGCACAGCACCAAAGAGGCAGTACACCTGAGGAGTAGAACCATTACCCTGATTTGCAATGAAGGTTTAAAGGGGCACAAGCTGTGGGGACTTTCAAGGACTCTGGCATCATGAAGTAGCAAGACAAGGCAGTGCTGAATGATAAACTCCTTCAAAATGTTATCTGTGTTGGAGGCAGTCTGTTAATGAAACGGGTTGAGGGAGAGTATATTATGATCCTCTGCTGGGGAGATAATACTCGCTAAGCCAAAGATTTTTGTCTCTTTGTTCCTCCTTTTTTCTCTTTCTCACACATGACACACATACACACAAACTCTGGGCCATAGCCGCCTCACTCCTAGCACAATTCACTGCTCCAGTTGCTTCCTACAAATAGCTGGTTGAGGAAGAACGCTTTTCATTCAGTAATGAGTAATAACCAAAGGAAAATAAGATCTATACAGCAAATCTACAAGAAAAAGGAGGAAAGAAAATGAAAAGCTAATGTTATAAAAAGACATTTTCCAGAAAAATGTTGCCACAAAGCAGACCAAACATAATGCTGTGAATTCAAAGGACTTAATGAAACAGTTTAAAAAACAAGACCTCAAAGCAGAAGAATTGATGATGAGATAACAGAAGGAAATGTAAAATAAGCTAGCAGAATTCAGGAAGAAAAGGAAAAAATCCTAGAAATTAAAACCACATTATAAGTGGGGGCAGGGGAAGGAAGCAGACAAAGATGACAACACAGTTAAACTTCAATGAGGGCTAGGTTAAGAACAGTGAGAAAATGGCAATGGAAATTTAAAAAGAACTAAAAATAATCTGAGACAAAATTATAGATACAGAAGACAAAGTATATCCAGCATGTCCACATGAGGGAGAACAGAACAAGTGGAAATGAAAAAATAATCAAAGTACAATTCAAGGCAACTTCATGTAAGTGAAAAGACACTTTATAGATTGAAAGGACACACAGTGTCCCAAGAAAACTGACAGAATGACCCTTGTGACCTATCCCATTGAATTTTACTAGACTTCAAAAATAAATAATCCTTTGAGCATTCAGGCAAAAAGATCAAGGCATCTTTAAAAGGAAATAAGTCAGATTGGCCTCAGATTTCTCCATGGCCACATCAGTGGTAGATAATGGTGGAACGCTAGCAAAGTCTTTGAGAAAGGAAGTGTGACTTACCTGGATCCTAATTTTTCATTTGTTAAAGGGGATATGAAAAATACTTGACTTAGAGCATAATTATGAAGGGGGCACCTGGCTGGCTCAGTTGGTAGAGCACGTGACTCTTGATCTCAGGGTTGTGAGTTCAAGCCCCACGCTGGGCATAGAACTTCAGTAAAAAAATAAATAAATAAATAATAAAATTATAGCATTATTATGAGATAAAATGATATAATAATGAGTGCAGATCACCTGTGATTTTAATAAGTGCTCAACAGTAGCTACCATTATTTTACATAGTTAAACTTTCAAGTAAAAGGCATCAAATGTTTTTGAACATATAAGGATTAGAAAATAGAACTCCCATTAGTATCTCTTAAAGAACTACCAGAGAATGGAATTTAGGTAACCAAGAGATGAACAGAGAACCTGAACGTGGAAGCCAGCTGAAAGATAGGATTGGGATGAAAACAACCCTGGGAATCTACTTCATAATAATTAATAAAATATCTGATAATTACTAGATGCTTATTGTATGTCAGGCACTGTTCTAGTGCTATACTTTCATTATCATGAAAACAAACCTGTGAGGTAGAACCTATTGTTAAATACACTGTAAAAACAAGGAAACAATTATCTGTTAAGTAACTTGCTTAAGGTTGCACACCTAAAAAATGATAAAGCCAAGATTCCAACCTAGGCAGTCTGGTTCCAGAGCTCATTCTCATAATAATTACTGTACATTGTTCAGAATGTTAATATTATAAACTACATCAGTAAAAGTAATAAAATTAACAAAAACCAAGAAGAGAAGATGTAAGAAGATGGAAGGTGGCAAAAGGATTGATTTATCTTTAATATTCAAGGTCAAAAGATAACGTATCTTATAAATCAAGTAACAGAGACAGAAGAATATTCAAAAGTATACCAATGATCACTAATAATAATAATGTATTGATTAAAATTAGGTGGAGCAAAAGAGATGAACAGAACTATAATTTTGTCAATGCTTATAATAAGTAGATTTGGTCTAAGGAAATAGAGGATAAAGTACATTTTTAAAAGTTACAGCATAAAAAGCTAAACAGTAGAAGAGCTAAATATAGAATACAAACCTTCCTAATTATCAGAAGAACATGTATAAAATAAAGAAATATACACCATCTAGAGAAAGATACAAACCAAACAAATCCTTAAAAACAGAAAGTAGGTCATAAAATGTGCTAGAGAACTAAGTCATATCTATAAATGTCAGTGGGATAAGTTCATCTATTGAAAGAAAAATATCCTCAGGAAACAGTGTCAAAAAAGTTGAAAATAAAGGATAGTACAGGTATATCAGACAAATGTAAGGAAACAATTAAGTCACAATCTTACACCAGACAAGGTTGCAGTCAGAGGTGGAGAAAGCATTAAATAAGGTTTAAAAAAAAGAAGCCTCTTTATAATGATAAAACACACAATCCACAACAAAGATATTACTTTCGTGAGTTTCTATAAGGCAAAGTAGAATTAAAATTCATTAAACAAAACCTATAAGAAATAGAAAAAGAAATAAACAGAAAGGTATTAGAGTAGGAGACCCTAATTCACTTTTCTTAGTCCATGACAGATCAAGAAGTCTATGAAAAAACAATATAGAAGAACTAAAAAACCTGACTAATAAAGTAGATCTAAATGCCTTGAGAACAGGGCGCCTGGGTGGCTCAGATGATTAAACGCCTACCTTCGGCTCAGGTCATGATGCTGGAGTTCTGGAATGGAGTCCCACATCGGGCTCCTGGCTCAGCAGGAAGCCTGCTTCTCCCTCCCCCTCTGCCTCTCCCCCTGCTCACGCTCTCTCTCTCGCTGTATCTCTGTATCTCAAATGAATAATAAATAAATAAATAAATAAATAAATGCCTTGATAACAGCCCTTTCAAATGCCCACGGAACACTTATAAAATTAGACCAAAGCCTTAATAGATTCCACTTAGTAGAAATGGCACAAACAGTATTCCCCAATCACATTATCCTAAAACTTGGAATTAACAAAACATTTTTCCATACCTAATTAAATAATTCTTGAAAGTCAAAGAGAAAGTCCAAATTGAAATTTTAAGTATCTAAGAAATAACAATAACAGAAACTGAAAATAAAACTAATAATAAAATCAAAGAACCGCTTAAAGAACTCCATCTTAATTATGTTCATAAACAGCAAAGAACAAAACAAATAAATTAAAAATTCAAGAAATCAGAAAAAAATTAATCCAGAGAAAGCAGAAAGAAGGAATTAACCAATATAAAATAACAATACAAGGTTATGGTATGTTCCTGTAGTTGGCAAAAATTCCTCTGACCTTCATTTCCCAATCTTTGCTTTAGATCTCTTGCTCTTTTCTGGTTTCTGCCATTACCTTTTGATGGTTCTTCGCCAGAATTCTCCTTGTCTGTCTGGTTCCCTCAGTCTGACGACATGATGCTGCTCTCAGATCAGTCTTGCCCAGCTCTGGTTCTTGGGATCATGCAACCTATTAAGGGCCAACACTGTGCTTCTCTTGTGTAAGGATAGGGATTGTGGATAATTTCCTGAGCTTTTCATCTTGGGGGCTTAAATTTTTCATTGATCCCAAGGGAAGAGCCAAAGCACAGTTGAGTCTGTTAATTACTCAATTCCTGAAAGGCCCTCCTACCAACACTTTCTACAGTCTGCTGTGAGGATGAGCATAGCCTTGGTGGAGATGGAGAGCCTTGCCCATGTGAAGAAGTATGTGCCAACACCCAGAAGCTGTTGCTCTTCAGCTGTCACTACCAGAGAAGTTCCTGGGTAAGCCTTGACCACGCCTGCTTTCTCCTATAGACCTGGCTGTAACCAGAAACATGAGGTTTCATTCTCATAGGAGGAGCAGAGCAATCTAGTTCCTAGACTCAAGTTTGGAGGGACCACATGGGAGATGCTCAATATTTTCTTCCCCAGGTCAACCTCTGGAGATTTTTAGGGAATGCAGAACCATCTGTTTGGTATCTCTGCTTGTAGCAGATGGCCAGCAATTTCACTGGTATGTGTCTTCACTGAG